TTGAGGATTCTCCATACTGATTTCCATAGTAATTGTACTAGTTTCCATTCATACCTACAAGGTAGAAATGTACTCCCCCACTCCAAGCCCTCAGCATTTTTTATTACTTCATTTTTTGATGATAGAGTGCCATTCTTTCTGTGGTATAATGGAATCTTAGTTTTGTTTTAATTCGCATTTCTCAAGAGGCCAGAAATTTTGAACATTTTTAATGTATTTATTGGCCATTTGTACTTATGTTGAGATGTGTCTGTTCATTTCAGTTGTCCATCTTTTGATTATTTTATTTTGGAGAGTTCTTTTTAGTTCTTTATATATTCTAGATATTAGTTCTGTAGAAAGAATAGCTGACAAATTTTCTCATTCTGTAGGTTGTCTCTTCACTCTGGGGGTGTTTCTTTTGCTGTGCAGAAGATTTTTACTTAGATAGGATCCCATCTGTTGATTCTTCTGCAGTTAGGGTTCTCTTCAGAAAGTCTTTGCATTTTACTCCAATAGTAAACAAAACAAAACTAAACAAAAAACAAACTAAGAACAGGGATGTCTCTGCACCATTTCTTCTGCTCAGGTTTTTGTTTTTTTTTTCTTTTTTGGTTCCTGCGATCGAACTAGGGACCTTGCACTATGCGAGGCAGGTGGTAAAACTACTGAGGTAAATCCCTGGCCCCCTCTTCTGCTCAGGTTGTCAGACAAAAGTTTTAAATTATCTTCACTTAAACAAGAAGAAAGCCATAGCCCTAGCTGGGATTTAGAGTAGGGAGGAAGTGAGTCAGCTGAAGCCAGTTTAAATAGGCCATCCTGCCCATTGCCCCACCTTGTGAAAAGCCTTGGGTATTTTATTTTTAAACAGACGAATTTGTCTCTTCCATGTATGGAAGGGCCACTGTGCTGGTGAAAAGAGTTTAAAAATAAAAGGTTCCTCCCTCTTGGTCTCCAATATTAGAAACTTAGCTTGTAAGTCTAGTTAGTAAAGCAAGAAAAAGATGGAGGCAGTTGATGTAAACCCATGTGTAGCTATCTGATTCCATGCAGACTCTAAGCCTATTTATTGGTATCATCCACAGCCAGGGTGGGGTACTTTTTAATTCTAGCATCTCACCCTTAATCCCAGCATCATATTAACCAAGAAGGAAACACCTAGGTTGGAAAAAACACAAACCAAGAAAAAAAGTCATTTACAAAAGTCGGGTAAGTGGAGATCAGATTAATTTAAAACAAAAAAAGGGATAGTAAACACAACACAAACCAAGAAAGAAAACTCATTTACAAAACTGGGAAAAGTGGAAACCAGGTTAATTTCCAAGAAGAGTAGCAATGTATAACAAATTTATGGACAACAAGGACCCATGGAGTGAGGGTAATCAGCTAGAAAGAAAAAAGTCTACATTCCCTTGCCCTGTCCTCACAGACAGGCCAGGCATCCCTCCCTGGTGCCTTAAGAAGAGTCCCCTGATTCCTGGCTTAGTGAGTAGAATGAGAGAAAGAAGAAAAAAGCCTCACAGACAGAAACAAAAATTGTGCCTAACATGGATCTTATCTTAGCCTCCTGTACCTGAACTTTACTTCTGGCTAGCTGTGCCAAAATATTATTTGGAGTCTCCTGGCTTTTAATTCTTCTGGCTAGCTGTGCAAAAATGTTAGTGGGTAGCTCCTTGTAAAAGCAGCTCACCAATCAAATATTACCAAGTTTTGTGTTGCTTGAATCTCCTTCTGGATTTATACTCCAGATTCTTCTCACCTTGAACAAAGAATTGAATAAAAGGAGGAAAAACCAGTGGCAAAGTTTTATTTGAAAAAGTAAAAGTGAAGAGAGGTAGATACTAGCTCTGCAGAGTGAGCTTGGTCCAAGTAAAAGGGGAAAAAGCAAGATAAAAGTACACCCTGGAGAAAGTACACCGATGAGGAAAGCCAATAGCAACAGAGTGTATTTTAAAATGTGTTGTATTTTTACTTCCAACCAATACATAGTAACAGGAGCTGGTTTATGTCCCTGGTTGAACAACACTCCCCCCCCCAAAATACAAGAGCAAATATTTTAAAAATTGGGTTTTATGATACTGAACATCAGGGAATGAAGAATGACTTCTGGGAGATAGGGAATAAGGTGAGCCTACAATTGCATGGCTGACTGCCTTGAGTTTCCAGGCCATAACATAGTAATGGGAAGTGAAGTGCAGCCTGGCAGATCTCCTGATTTGAGGAGATGGAGCTGAGTGTCTGGGGAAACCAAAGTACTTAGAATTAGGACAGATTACTGGAGAAGAGTGTGTAGCACAGAGACAATTCCACATAATTCTTTTTCTTTTGCCTTATTTTCAAGTCTTGCTAAATGAGTTTTTTAAACTTTCACTTTCAATCTCACAGAAGAATAGGATCTTCCATATAAACAGTCAAAGGCACTGTTTTACCTACTCAGCTCAGCTGTATCTATTTGAAAATGGCATTCTATTCCTTGAAGGTCATAATGACTTTTCTTTTTTCTTTTTTAATTGAGTTTATTGGTACAATCTAGGTATACAATACAATTACATTCATTATTGGAATCCTGTACCTTTACATAATAGGTCTTGATTCTCATTTTTCCCTCTTGTCCCTGCCCTCTCTTC